GAGTGGCCTGTGTAACAGGTACACATTTATCCTGTGCTAAAGTACAAAATTCCACGTGTCACTGGAAAAGAGTTTTACCTCTCCAGGATATGACTTTTTGGGAGTTCTCCTGGGAACTTTCTGACTCTCCATATCAATAAACACAGAAAAATTACATGAGACAAAACATAGCTTGCTGAATGCACTGGAAAGAGCAATGAAACCCCAGGGCACCCAGTCAACTTCCAGAGCAGAGATTATTCAGTATTTCTACAGTCAAGGCTCAGTTGAATAAGACTGCAACATTGCTGGGTTCGCAGGACACAGGGTGGCCTTGGACAATGGCACTCACTCTCTCAGATGTGTCTGTGCACCTGCTTGGTGCCATCCTGTCTGTGAATTGGAAGCTTCTTTCCAACCTGCAAAAGTGGATTTCCGGAGTATTCCTACCACATTTCTGCCTGCCATTTCCCAGAAGGGAAAAGGATGAATTCACATATGGTGGCTAGCAGATACACAGAATGCCTGAAGCTTGTGTAAGTGCAGTTTTATTATGTGGCTGCAGGGCCTGTGTGATACTTCTAGCATTTACTGTGTCCTACTCTGAGTAGACATATGCAATAGATGCAACCTAAGGTGTGTGTGTGTACATATATATATATATATATATATATATATATTTGATGATTCACATGCATAACTTTATTGATATAGACATTGAGAAATGAGTAGCAGGATAAAATGTAGGAAGTCCAGATCTTCTTTCTGTACAAAATAATACTACTCTTTTTAGTGTTTATTCTTGTTGGATTTGGTTTTTTTTGGGCATTGTTTTAAAAACATCTACTACATTTAGCATTAGGTAGGGAAGTATGCTTCACTTGTTCTTTTGGTGTACGTTTGCTGTACACTTTCTTGTGTACACTATGTTCTATGTATACTTTACGTGTACTCTTCTGACTGATAAACACTTTTATTCTGATTTACACACTGTCTTTCTGACTGGTATGCTGTCTTTCAGACTCAGATACAAAGGATTTCCAAGGATTTGAGATTTTAAGAGAAATAATAACATTTTCAGAGGGCTGTTCTATGTTCACTATATGTCTTCTCTGCAGAAATGATAAAAAAAAACCCCAAATGTCCTGTTTCCAGAAAATCTTGATCGCTTTCATTGTGTTTTCCTAAAAGCATCTATTTCCTTCATATTACTTTTGAGTGTAACTCCCCCATATGGCTGAATCAACAGCTGCTACAAATTGCTTAAAAATGAGGAAATGAGGAAATTTCTGTTTGGATTGTGTACTTGGACACCTCAGTAAAAATATTACTATGTCATGACTGTAAGATCCGGCTTTAGAGACAGAGCAGATTTCAAAGAGTCTTCTTTTGAGGTTTAGGCAAATATCTACGTGAAAGTGCTAAACTTACCAATATCACGCAGTTATGCTGGCTCTTTCCTTCATTTCCCCAAGGAAGTGTGAGAGTATGCATCAGTGATCATCACAAAGATGTGAACAGACCACTGCACTCAAAGCTTTGTGTTAAGGACATGGGTGTGTAGATTTCCAGTGGGTTTTACTGCTGCTATTTACTCTCTGTGTGATGGTAAATCCTCAGAGCTCTGGCAAAGTTTAAAGATATTGCAGAAGTTTACATAAACATCTGTACAGACCTAAACTGGACAGCTGATATCCATGAAGAGATTTAGAGCATGGCAGTGCCCTGCATGATGCTTAAAATCTGGGAGATGGTGATAGGAACAGAGCTGTTATTTGCAAAATGAGAATTTTATCTGGTCTTACCGCTTCTGTACTTTTAAAAGTGACACAAACCCAAGAGACATACTTGCTATCAGCAATAACAAGAGTAAGAGTGATGTAAACTAACACTCATAGAAATCTTTCAGAATACACAGAATACGTGAAATTCAAAGCACAGGAGTCCACTCAGGGACTAAGCCTGAGCAAGAGTTTCTGCCACTTTTACCAAGGCAGGATCACCATCAACCAGTAGGTCTTGACTGTAACCTCTCACACTCCCCACCAATGAAGAAAGTATACATTTCTAACTTAATACAGACTGCCACATGGTAAAACCATCTGGGAGGATATTTTGAAGGAAACAGATGGAAAAGGAAGAGATTCTTCTGAATGTAGTATAAGATTTACATTATCCTCCATGAACTTCCATGTAGCCCCATGTTTATGTAATTTATCACTATTTCCTTAGCTCAGATTAGAAAGCCTGCATGAGCTCATGTTCTTGTTAATTCTGAGTCTGAACCTCTCTACTTTAAAGAGAAATTAGGTACTATAAAAAGAAATCAGAGAAAGACCTGAGTGAAATCCAGCAGCAAGAAGTTCTTGATCATCCCATGAATTACACTGTTTTACCTCTCCTGTCAGCCTCAGGAAGACACTGTCCTGAGCATTTGCTCACAGTGATAAATTTTTGTTCTTTGCCATGCACCTATACCAGCAAAACTGCAATGGTGTGGTACTGCAAATGTGAGAGCGGGGCCTGTTAAAACCAGGAAGGGCTGAAGATAAGTTCAGTGATCTCACTGAACATCCCTTCATCTAAAGATTAAAACCAGAAATGTTGTCTGTGTAAAGACATGGCATATAAATAATTTAAGGTGTTCTTTCACTACTCACTTGTGGCAACTGGAGAGATCTAAACAGCCTTCTCTCTCCTTCATGTATTCTTCTGTGGCTCCTCACTTTCTGCTTCTAAACACTTCCACTACTAATGGGAATGTCAAAGGGCTTTCTTTTCTCTGTCTCACTCTCTGTCTCTGCCTACAGAGACGCTGCTGAGCACCACTGCAGCAGCAGTGACATCCAGCTGGTTGACACACCCTGCAGCATCCCTACCAGAATCACTGCTTCAGCAAACGGTCAGGAAAATCCATATGGGGAATGCTAGTGCTTCAGTTCAAATGCCTACATCATTTGGCCATCAATTAAATCTGTCATTAATTTGTTCTGCTACAAAACAACAGAGTCCAGGTCCCCTCTTTGTCCTCCAACACCCCAGCCCAGCTTCAGTCCCAGATATTTCTTCCTCTCGCACCCAGGGCTGCACATGGTTATTGTGCAAACAAAACGCTTGCAGGAGTCAGTGCCTGGGCAGCTTGGAAACCTGGCAGCACCACAAGGCTATTGACAGCAATGGCTCCTGCTAGGCTAGGCTACAGCCATCAGCTCCAGACCCCTTCTTCCTGCGACCTCAGTGGGATTGAGCTCTGATGTGTACCAGAGGAAAAGGCAACATGAGCAGCTGCCTGGGAGTCTCTGCCTCCTGGATTTGTCTCCTCTCTGCAGCAGGGCTTAGCCTCCCTGTCACTCAGGTGCCACAAAAGGGAGAGCTGGCTTTGTGCCACCAACAGGTTTACTACCATGTTGTAGTAGGAATAGCCTGATTGTAGGAGTAACACTTGAAGGATATAAGCAACACATGGAGAGGAAATCTCTTCTATTAGAACAGCCTGGTGTGTTCTGAATTGTGTGGTGTAGTCAGACCATACACAGAAAGTCACTGGGGACTTAGGCTGTTTTTTGCATAAGCTGGCCTAACAAAAGACATTACCTCCCCTTGCAAAACTTAACCTTACTTGAAAATACTATTACATTCATCCTGTGTGTTACTTCCACCATTCAGAGACATTATTAGCTGTGCCATGGATTCATCCTTCAACTGTATTGGTTTCTTTTGTAGAAATCTGATTCCTGCACATGCTTTGGAGAGTTACATCATTTTACCCCTTCAACTCATAGCTAGGATGTTTGCTGTTTCATATGTTCCTGATTCAGATTGCAGTTGATATAATGACAATGTACACTGTATAATAATGTATTAGAACCATAAGGTGGAAAAATTGAAGTATTATTCCTTTCTAAAAGCAGACCTCTTTCCAGAAGAGCAATGGATCCTTTATGCTCTTGACTCAGCAATCATTCATGTACATGAAGGTACAGCAGCACAGCCCATGGACTCTGCTGAGCAGTCATGGACTTGCTCCCATGCCCAGAGGTTTTCCTCTGTTAGTGCACATATAACAAAGCGTCAGAGTTAGGTTCTTGGGGTTTTTAACACAGGGCAGGCTGGGAAGGGAAAATGAAGTGGATTCTAACAGCAGTGTTTGACTGGTTTCATGACACCTTGTGGCTTGCATTTTTTTTAAAGTGTCAAAAAAGAATAATACTACCCAACACAAGCAGTTCCAATGTGTTAGTCTTTATGACGGATCCAATCTGGTTACCAAGTTCAGCCTATTATATTTTGTGGATTTACAGAATCCTTTAGTGAGATGATGCAGAGCAATGCAGAGTCCTCAGGGAGTGCAAAGGAGAGCTGCTTTATTGCAGAAACCAGGCCTTTTTAAGCAGGCAGCCGGTTATTAGTTTACACAGTTTTAAGGTAGAACAAGCCCAAGCCCACCAACCACCATACAGCATGACATGGACATGCAGCCATCACACAGCACGCCTCTCACATCTCTCACATCTCTCTACCCCTATTCCAGCTGAGTCACTCTCCCATAGTTCCCTTCTACTTAGCCTAAGTAACAGGCCTGAGCCATGATTTCACAAAGGCCCTTATCTTATAAGGCTTTACAGATATGCAGCACTAAGAAAAGCAGGGATGGGTTTCATGCATATGCCCCTCCTTGCTGTAATGCAGTTCCCACCTATCCACATTCAAGACGAAGAGAGATATTTATTATGTGCTGGACTCACACCACAGAAGTGTGCATGTGTGTCTGCATTATCACTGCAAGGTTACCAATGCAGAAGGAGGACAATTCTGAGCGCTGTCCCCTGCTTCCTCCTCTCTTTCCCAAGGGCCACTGCATGACTTGTTCTGGTGGTTGTGCCCAGCAAGCCAAGAGCTGTCCTCCAGCTCATGAGATCGATGCATTTAACTTCTTTCTTTACAGTGAAAGAGGCCAGTTGAAATACTGAAAAATTATTTCACTTAAAGTAGTCTAAACAATTTAAGTTAGTTTTTCTTACCTGAGCAGGCTTCTTTTGAACCACTTGTTGAGGCTGAAAAGTAAAACAAAGGCAAAGTGAGAAACAAAATTAAGTGAGAGCAGTTAACTGTGATTTTATGAGTGCTAGGAAAGTATTTTCAGCAATAGAAATAAAAAACAGGAAAAGCCCACAGTCAGAAATGGAGAGATAAACATACCCAACTCTCACACCCAGCCTCTCCTACACCTATCTACAACTTTGCTCTGAAGTAGTTCATGTTACTGTGGATGAAGAGAAGTATGTTAAGTTTGTACAATTAAAACCAAAGTGAAATCTAACTTAGCATGTTCCATCTTTGGCTCTTCTATAGTACTGCTGCCTTAACTCATCAGACCATGAGAGTGACCTGATTTTATAATGAGATTTTGTTGTCTCCACTGCTGCTGCTCTCTTACAACATTCTCAGCTGTGAGTGGAGTGTCCTGCTGTGGGAAATCCCTCCCTATAGGTCACGAGCAGAGTCAAAGCTCAGACAGAGAGCAGAAGGACACACAACCCCATTCCTGAGCCACTTGACCAAAGCCACCCCTGCCAAAACCAAGGAGACTGGGATGGACAGTGGTTCCAGCCCTTGTGAGTTCTGGTTTGAGACTTTCAGCTGCATGAAGCTGATGCTGTGCTGACCCTTGCAAGCCTATTTGTGTGATTACAGGGATGTCCATTACTGCCCAGGCTGCGTGTGTCCGCCTGCCTATGCAGGACTTGGTGGCACCACCATGGGTTCTCAGCGAGTCTCTCCTGGCTGGTCCCACCCAGGACTGGGAAACACAGTCCTCACATGAGTCAGGAGACCCACCAAGGTGCCAGCGTGCTTCATCCCCACCCAGGAGAAGAGGAGCACCAATTAAGGAACAAATACAGACATGCTTAAAATACACCAGCGCTGCCCAGATGATGGAATGAGCCTTGTGGGTGCTAGGAGCAGCATGGAACAATAAGGCCACAGATAAAGGATAAAATCCTGATACAGGAACAACAAAAAGGCTTTTCTTACTTCAGTGGGACAAAGTTGCTGCCTCTCTCCCTCCCCCGGACATTCTGTTTTTTAAGTCTATGAATTGCACCCAATGATTTTCTTCCTGCCCTTCCTTCCTGCTTTTTCCTAATCCCAGCCATGATTTTAGTGCCTTGCTTGGGCAAAAGCCAACATGCCATCCCTCTGCATGGCCAAAAACCTAATTTTCACAACAGTGTAGTAGGAAATAACTGGAATATTTCCGAATAAGCAGTTTAGTGTAACTGGCCTTTCAGAGCAATATTTCAGTGGGAAGGATCAATGAAAATGTAAATTAAATGTAACTGATTAAATTCGGCTGCCAACCACAAGTGTCCCATTTTAACAAGAGATGCTTTGTTTATTTTCAGTCTTTTTCTAACTCAGTAGAACCCTACTGCTGTTATATTTTTCTATATAACTGTCTCCAAGTTCTGCTCTCAAATAAATATGAGAGGAAAAAAACTACCTGATGACTGGGTCTGTCTTTAAACTTCAGGGTGTTTTCCTGAACTTTCCTTTTCCATTAAATTCCCTTGAAATGGAGAAACTATTATCAAGGCACACATTTTATTGATGCTTTCTCCAGGTGGACTGCAGGCCCTGAACTCATTAATAGACATTTGCTGCTCTTGGACAACGGAATGATTTGTTTTAAAGGAATCTCTCATAATTATAGAACTCATTGAGCTCTTCTGTAATCTGTCAAATTTATTTTTCACTTTATTTTCTTTTTTTTTTTTGCCTGTTGATTACACCTGTACATGTGTCTACTCCCAAACCACATGAAATCCACAGACATTTTTAGAGGTTGACTCTTTTCTCCAGCTCAGAAATCCCCATATATTTTTGGCTGTGCACTCTATGTTCATGTGACTCTCACTCACTGTAACTCAATGAAATCTTCTGAAAGAGCTGCCAACTCACCATATTTTCCATGAATTAGGTCCTGACACTTCAATGAGAGGAAAGACAATGTCTGAAACAAGGCCAGCTCTGGCTTTCTGCCTAGTATGTGTCACAGTAATTCTACCAGCTGCCCTTCTACACAGCAGTTCATACTTTTCAGACCACCAAAAAGCCCCTTGAATACTTTCAGTGATAGCTGGGGCTTGAGCTGCCAGCATGTTTTCCCAGCCTCTGGCACCCAGTGGCTTTGGACTGGACCTTTAAAGTTTTTTTTTGCATGTGTTTGTTTTGTTTTGCTATTTTTATGAATGGCTTCCACAGGGAACTCTGACTCCAGCACAACCCTATCCAGCCATTCATAAAAAGCAGAGGGAAAATATTGTACTTTGCCCAGTTGGAAACTGTCTGTGATACTGACCAAGGCTTTCAAGAATTTTAGTCATTCAAGACCTTTGCTATGGCAGCGCTTCATGTGGAGAGCTCCTTGGCAGTGCTGGCTCACTGACGGCTAGGCTTCCCCTGGACCTGGGGTCTGGAGTTCAGCATACGTTGTGCTTGCTGCCTTAAATGGAAGAGGTTTAGCTATGCATCCCAGGAGCAGGGCTCAGTCCCTCAGCCAGTGTTAGTGGCACGCACACTGACACGCTGGGAGCCGTGCCCACTCATGTCACTCGGAGGGCTCCGGCTTGCGGCAGCTGAATCACTGCAAGTGCCAGTTTTCAAAGGCATCGCTTTCCATGCCTCAGCCTGGCTGAGCGGGACTGGGGCTGGACATATAAATCCTGTAAGGCCCAGTCCTGTGAGGACTAGTGCCTGCTGACTCACAGCATCCTGACCAGAAGAACTGAGGTGCTCAGGAATAACAAGAAATTTCCCAAGCACCTCTTTAATTTCTTTAACTGTTGTGGATGTGATGCCTTTGGAACCATTTTGACACACTGTAGATACTACTGCTTCAACTTGCTAAACTTTGTGTTTACTGCATTAAAAGATCTTTTCAGGGCTTTGAAAGTGACACCCCTGATTTACAAGTGTTGCATCTGCATGTTCAATTATCTGGAAAGAAAGACAATCTGCCTTGGTTATGGAAAAGACTGGAACTATTTGATAGCCATGGACAAGAGACTTCAAATAGGTGCTCTGGGGCAAAATAAAGTTGTAAGCAAGAACAGAGAGCTCTGAAATATTATGTATTGTCCCTACTAGGAGCCTGCAGAGAAAGAAGGTAGAACTTCTACTCTGTCAGAGGCTCTCTCACTTATGTTACCCATCTTAAGAGGAGATTTGTGCAACACAGTGCTTTCACATTTCATTTTTATCCCAAGTTTGAAGAACAGCTATTGTACACTGCATGTACATCAGCTGATGTTCCATACACTCGAAAGCAAACTTCAGCGTTTTTTACATCATATGCAAGTACAAGTCAACACTAGATATCTTTTTAAAATACGTATGAAACAGAAAGAACAAGCTGCAATGCTGGAAAAATCCTATGACAAGGTCATTTAAATGTCTATAAAACAAGAACAAATCCAAAATGCAGCAGTATTTCTTTTGCCATGCTTAAAATACTGTGTATGTGAGCTAAGGCAGAAGATAATTATTTAAAACTTGACGATAATATTCCTAACTTTGAAGAGGAAAAACCCCACAAAATGCCTGAAAAGGAGAATACACAAAATTTTGATGGTTTTCTTTCCTGTAAGTTTTGAATGTTAAAAGCCCAACTGTTTATCTTCTACACTTCTTCCACTCCTCCTCAGTCACACATCCCTCATTTTGTTTTCTTATTTTCAAATTCTGTTGATTTGCTTTATGACAGTATCATACACATATCCTTACAGCTCATACTGGTCAAACAATTTCTTTGCTTTCTACACGAGAACAAAAGAGCAGCCTCATGTGATCAGTTCATATTCATCTTGTACCAGCAGTCTAAAGTTGTATCAAGTTCAATTTGTCACACTTATCATTCACAGAAGTACTTCTTACCCTGTGACTTTTCCTAGTGTTACAAAGCTAAGGAAGGAAAATGGAAAGTTAAGGGTAAATCTTTATCTTAGTATGAGCAATGCTGGAACACATTTTTAATGATCAGAAATAAAAGCATTGGTTTGAATGCAAATCATCCCCTGACTGCTATGCCTGAAGCGCCAGAGGCAAGCTGCACACACACAGTGGTCTTAGATTTTCTGTTTGTGTCTTCCTCTTCAAACTGAGTGGTATGAAAATATCTGATTGATGCTTATTGGCAAGAGTGATGCTTTATTTTTTGCAACAGGTTGACATAGATAAGAGATTTGCATGGAGGTAGTTCTGCTGGGGAGACTAAATGGCCATGATGGAAACTAATACCCAGTTAGGATGACATTTATAGTGCTGACAGCTCTGTGTTATGCAGAGATCATTAAAGTAATTTCACAGGTCATCCAAACACTTGTAGTTCTAAATTAAAAGATGAGTAAAACCATATTTTGTCTTTTTGTCTACATACCCTTGAAAAATCAGGAAGTTCATTTTATACCAGTTGAAACCAATATAATCCAAAATAAATCATGCCTTACAAGCAGTTCCAAGACAGCAGAGTAACTACCATTCTGCCCTACAAGCTTTAATTGGTTTGAGTCCAGCCTTTCTTCCCTCTTCCAGCACAGAATGATACAGCGCTGGGACCAGTGGCCCACACAGCCTGCCAGGAAACCCTCACCTTCCAGCAAAAGCCACTTGCAGCTTCCTGCATCAGCAGAAATCTTTCTGAAATTGCACGGGACGATGTGCCTGCCATTCACTCCTCAGGTCCAGGTATGCTCATGGCTTGCTTTAGTAGTAATCTCCCTCTTGAGGCAGTAGCAGAACTGCTTTTTTATCCCATAAGCAGTGAGGGGACTTGTGTTTGGAAGTACAGGTCATGAATTCTCCTGCCTCCATCACGTTTGCAGTCAACTGGCAACTGTAGTGTCTGTGTATGCACACTGCTGTGGGTCATTAGAATCTAACAGCAAAACCATCTGGCCCTTAGAGTTCAAAGGAGATTTCACAGTTCTCTGTGCAGTCTCATAAATGAGGCTAATAGTAATCTGTGGAGAATTCTGGCAAAATCTGTGAAACT